ACCTCCAAGTCCAAACTGGGAGGTACAGACCTGGTGACAGCGCCTCTGAGGATTCAAGCATCATCCTCCCCAGTTACAACACCCACACCAGGTACTAGGTGTAATACTGAGAGCTCTGTCCATGCGTCTGTGCTGTCCACTGGCAGGTTCACTAAACATACTGTAGTTCAAGTAGATAGCTGTGTCACCTGAAGAAGACTCCACAGCGAGTCTAGAGAAACCCTGGTGCCGTGTTGCTGCCTACTGCAGTATTCCATTACAGTGCCATTTGTTTGCATGTCATGATTTTCACAGTAGTGGGTATATAATTATGCAATTTTCTTTCCTCACCACTAACATGCTTTCCACCATAATTAATTGCCTTTATATAGTGTTTTTTCTTCCCAAAGGATCCCAAAGCACTTCAATTATGGGAGGAGACTCTCTTCTCTCACTGAAGTGCAGCTCCAGCTGGGAGCCATTCTGCACCAGCAGCCCACGTGCAGAAGTGAAAAATCGCTTCAGCAATTGAATTAAGGGGGACCTCAACGGAGGCCAGCTTGTACGAACCCCGAATCCAGCCAGGACACCAGGCTTAACACTCCTAATCTTGCACTGGGGGGATTTTAGTGACAATAGCCAGAACCTCAGTTTAGCATCTCATCCGAATAACAGATAACAAAACAACCTTACTGCTTCGTTGCTTTCATACAGCATGTCCTCGCAAAGGACATGCCAGGGAGTCCTTAACACTGGAACTGCAAGCAAGCAGCTCTGATCGATCATTTACCACGCGCAGCAGTTCAAACACAGTCTTTCAGGAAGACCAGCTCTACCACAGGGGTCTCGCTGCCAGCAGGTTGGGCTGGGTGTGAGCAACGCAGCGTACAGTGCTGGTGCTGGATAACTGGGATACATACAACGTCCACAGAAACACAGCATTTTGGTCCCGGACAGCCCAGCGGAATCACGTTCCTCCCACAGCACCGCGCTCATGAAACCCACCTCTTTCTCAGGCTTGTGGAAGTGCTTGACTATGTTGTTCACAGCCTCGCCCACAGCCTCCTGGATCTGCGCAGCCGTTAGTTCTGGAGGGAGGAAGAGGAAGCAGTTACCGGAGGCAGGATTCACGGTCTCACGCCCCAACTGGCAGACAGTTGACAACTAAGACAATTACAGGAGCAATAATAACAATATATCCAGTAATGACTCTGAAGGCACCTGCCAGCGTCTGGAGATTTTTTGACATGTCCAAGCTGTCCATTGCCTTGACAGATTTAACACAAATAATCTCTGAGGCCTTAAACCTTTCAGCATTTTCCAGGATGATTTAGCAGAAAGGATTTAGCAGAGATTGAGATTCTCCATTCAAAACTCACATCTGCCCGTTTCAGATTCTTACCTATTCATCATTTGTTATACAGCTTAAACAGCCTGGCACTGGACTGAAACCAGCTTAATCTGGGCCACAGCGATGAGAGCTGATCGGGACACACTCAGCACATCAGCACCAGGCTTAGAACCAGACGCATTTCAATTTTGTCTTTATGATGTCAACACACTACTACATATTCTGTACGAGCGGGGGCCTGGAAGGTACAGCCATGTTTGGTGCAAATGCTTTTCATCGAGACTGCTACTGAAACTCCTAATCAGAACAAGTTATTTTTTTCGTTTGTAAATGTAGCAATCATGGAATATGCTGCCTGATTGTGTGTAAACGTGCATTATGGATTTTAAGATGAACCCAGAGCAGCAGCTGGAATGGGTGGGACTGGGTGTAGTTCTCTGGGTATCCCAGCCCTGTCGGACCTTCACATGCCCTCTCCTACAGTAAGAGGCAGGCAATGCCAGCAGCCATATCACCCTGCAACT